AAATCCACCAGCCGCCACTTCTATTATGGTTTGATTTCTTTGTATGTATGGATCACTTGGGTTGTTACTGACATCTGGTGAAAATTTCATGTCATTAGCACCTCTAGTAATATATTTACTGAGGAAAATGGTGACGTGTTCAATACTTATTTTACCCGCTGTATATAAGTAACAATGATCTAAACCAGACCTAAAGTCAGTCAACAACTTTTTAGCTAGTTGAAAAATTAAGACTTCAACTAGTGATAAAGTATATTTATTATTTCCTACCCGTCATAAATATTAATAAATATTTACCAGTCAACACTTTTTAAGCTCATTTGAATTTTAAACTGTTACATTATTAGCTTCAATTCTGGTCAGATCACATCCACATTGAGGCAAATAAAATAAAATCTGCTGACTTGTGAATTAGACATTTTCCTGTTTCTTTTCTGCTGGTACATCCATAATGTAATAGAAATAATACTTTTAAGTTTAAGCCAGTAATTCATGACCTAGGTTTACATGACATGCTGTTTATCCACTGATAGAATGATCTGGAATAATCTGGAAAATGATTATAAAAGCATTGGATCAATGAATTTCTTCAAAAAAATGATCAAAGTAAAATTGTTAAAGAAATATGAAATTATTTAATTTGTATTTGTAAGAGTTACTGTTTGAGGAGTTGAATTTTTGTTTTTGATTTATTTGGTTTATTATTGTTTGAAATATGTTTTTTTGTAAATAGGAGCAGATAAGATTTTTTCTTCTGCTGCCTTTCATTTTATTTGCATTGTTTTGTTGTATATAATGTGCTTTGTTTTTTTAATGAAATGAATAAACCTGAATTAAGTCAGAACAAGATCTGCTAACAACAATCATTCTTAGATATCACTTGTATTTATCTTTGTGTTTTCCCTTGACCCAGCATTTCCATAGGATGAAATCTTGCTTTATTAAGAAGACATAATAGTGTTTCTTAAACAGTATACAGTATATGAGATCTCAACTGCCTCAAAGGAGGGGAAGAAGAAGCAGAAACTGAAGCAGAGAGCAGAGGGACAGTCTGATGTTGTTCTCAGTGTTCCTGTTGTTGCAATAAAACTCAGCTGATCATTCAACGAAGTACTTTTTATTCTTGGACCACATATTTCTCTTTGTTAAATAAATATTTCCACAACAGTAACTTACAGCTTTCTGACATTTTTATATCCATTATATAACTTAGATACAGTCTAAAATATTAATTTTATTAATATAATAATTAATAGTTTTATGATTTCTACACCACCAGTCCTTTTTTTGTTGCCTACATGTACAGCAATGCTAAATCCAGACTTTTGCTGCTTAGCCCCGCAGCTTCTACAGTAGATCACACAATGGGCCTCATGCAAGAACATGTTCATATTCTAATCCTAAATTTCTCTTACTTTTGTTCGTACAAAGGGTTCGTACGAACATGTCATGTCAGATTCAACAAACTCTTCTATCTTCTGGAAAAGGGTGTAAATGAGCTGCGTAA